CCCCCACCCCGACATATTTATTTTAATAAAAGTCATCTTCTGGACCCCTAACAGTTTTTCCTCTATTTTAAGGTATGGGTTATGGTAGAACAGCTGATTGCAGGATGAATCAACTATTGAGTCATCTGAGTTTATCATGTTATGTTTGTAATACATTTTGTTACGTCTATGGTACATTTATGCAATTATTGTGTTACTTTATACTACTGCACAACTCAGATGGGTTTTGCCCAGTATTATATAGATGGGCTCCTGGTTTGGAAGAGTTTACAGTCTTGGAGGGGAAGTGGTAGAAGGGAGGAAGGTGCAGTAGGATACAAAGGGAACTCTCTGTCAGTCTATAGCAGAACAGTGACAGCAAGCAGTGAAACCTTCCAGGAGCACACCACCTGACAAATGCAGTGTCATTTAAATATCTTAGATGCTTTCCAGGAGAGAGCTATGTGACTTATAAGCAAGATGCTGTAGGTTTTCCACAGGAGACTATTACTATAATTATGCATCCTCAGCACATCCATGTGTGTGTATTTGCATGCATATATGTATAGGTTCATCTCTATTACACGTTTATTAAAAATATGCCTTCCCTGTTTCTCTTTCTCAACAGGAAGAACGTCGTGTGATTTATCTGGGTAAAATCAGACCTGACACAACTCGAACAGAACTGAGGGACCGATTTGAAGTTTTTGGTGAAATTGAGGAGTGCACAGTAAATTTGCGGGATGATGGGTAAGAACTTTTGAGATTACTTCTTGTTTAGGAGCTGCCATATGTAAAAAATTATGGCAGTAAGATTACTGGTATGGGAGTTACCAGTGTAAGTGCTGTGACAGATGACATGCTGAGTTCAAAACCTTATTTATTTTCTTTCATCCTTATTTATTAATCTTGCTAGTTGAGATTTCCTGTCCCAGAAATATGTATTTAGCTGCATGACAGGACAATCATGCTGATAAATGGATGCAGTACTTCTGGCATTTCCACTGCGGGATCTCCTGCAAGTTCTTGCTTTCAGGAAGGGGTTACACTAATGCGCATTAACTCTTTTCAGCTGTTGTTCACAACTGTATATTTCAATTGCAGAGACAGCTATGGTTTCATCACCTACCGCTATACTTGTGACGCCTTTGCTGCTCTTGAAAACGGATACACTTTACGCAGGTCAAACGAACCTGACTTTGAGCTGTACTTTTGTGGACGCAAGCAATTTTGCAAGTCTAACTATGCAGACCTAGGTAGGTATTTTGCTCTGTGAATTAAAGTACATAACTGAAACCTTGTAGCTCAGGAGAATTTGGGGTTTGCTGCTTCTTTGTTTGCTGCTTATATTATTTAAATGATTGGGGAAAGTTAAAGGAAGTGGTTTTCACTTGCTGCAAAAAGTTTAGAAGTCTACTAATCTGAGTCTAATCTGAGCTGGCTTCTTTCTGCTATTTCAGACTGTGAAAATTCTTTCAAAGCCCATTTCCATCATTATCAAAAATAAGTGCCATTTCCCTATTGAAATGATAGCACCACAGAAACCTCCTGCATGCTTTACTGTTCATTGCTATGCTATGATTGCTTGATTCTAATCCCTGATTTATTTATATGAGTGATAAACAGAGAGCAAAGTAGATGCCTCACCCAAAAAAAATTCATTATGATTCTTACTTTGCTGTGAGTTGTGCTGTAGGTGTGTAGAACTTGCCAGAAACACTCCTTAAACACAATTCATAGTTTCTCAGATTTCAAAGCTAGAAGGGCTTGTGACCAAATCTGACTCTTAGTATAACAAAGACCACAGATCTCAACTAGTGGTTCCCACATTGTGCATAAGCATCTATGTATGAAACTGTCTCCTTGCAGGGACATGATATGTAAGAGGCTCCAGGAGGCTGTCAAGAACTTAGCAGATCTCTTGGTGTTTGCTGTCCCACTGATGTGAGGCAGTATGCATACCAGTCTCCAGACCCCAGTACGCTGTCAAAACTCCAGTCCCAACTGTGCATAATGGCTGCGAGAACACAGCCTAGTCCTGTCCTAGTCCTGTCTGGGCAAAAATGTATGGTTCTGTCCTGTGCTCTGGGTCAAGGAGTGATGCTTCCCCTTGGAAGGATGTTTGGAGATGTTCAAACTCTTGCAGCAGAAATGCTGATGTTAAGTATATGCATAAAGAGACCACACAGACTACCAAAACATCCTCTCTAATATTATAATATATTATAAACTCACCTCTTATTTAATTACCTCTCAAACTGTAAAGTATTCTTTAAATATTAAATCTTTCCTGATACCTGCATAAATAGACTAAAGCTATGGGAGATACTCTTTTCTGAATAAAATAGCAAGGGATATTTTGCTGTTGAATCTATATTAATCAGATATTGTGGGGTTTTATGAATAAATGACCACAGTCATTAAAATCTCTCATAACCCTGTAACACAGTGCTAATGAATTCTTGTATGTGCTGCCCTTGGCTTTGTACAATGCAGGAAGTGAATACAGATATATTTTTTCTAACCAATTGATGTCTTTTCAGAATAAATGATAAAGATGATACGCATTGTTCACAATGAATATGCTATAATTCACTTCAGTGGCTAAACAGATAATGTAAAGCTAAGAAGAGGCAATTGACTGCTGAAGAGATATAGGGTTGATGTTGAAAATACAAAAGGTAGCAAGGCATTTGTCGAAATGTAGGCTGATAAAAACAGATTGAAGTCTTGACTTGATTTGACTTATCTTCAGCAGTGGAAGCCAGGGTCGTCTCTGTATCTCAGAAAATCTGGGGTTTAAAATAAGTTGTCTGAAGGGAACCCTCTTGAACATTATTCATCACTGGGAGTATTCCCTGGCAGGTCTCTCCATACTGAGTGGGATTCCCAAAGTATCTGTGAGCAGAGTATTTTCACTTTGTCCTGCTGACAGCTTGAGCTTCTCTACTTCAGACTGCATTCCCTGTGTTTTCCAGACTATCTGATAGAGCTACATAAGGAAATGGCAGGATGAACTTTAAAATTCATGAGCTAGTACAAGGACAGAGAGAATTAATCAGCCTTGGGTTGAGTACAGAAGAAAGAAAACACTTGAAAATAGTAGTCAGAAGTTTAACACCTCTCCTCTGTGAGAAGATATTGTCTTAACAGAACTTGTAATGAACATTTAATGCACAGTGTGTCTTGTAGTGGTAGATGGGGAGTTCTCATTAATTCAACACGAGAAATGGCAAGAAAAGGGCACTCTCATAAAGGAGCTGTGGCACAGGAACCAGGGAGAGTCAGTGTTAAGCAGAGATGACTCCAAAAGGAAAATCCGTGCTTGCAGCCATGTCAATAATTGCTGTACTGGAGCTGTATGGCCACAGACGTACAATCCCTCCTCTGTGCTAGGAACAGGCTGACGTCTGTGTCTGAACAACTAGCGAAGCTGGAGCAGGTATCGCAGGTCACAGGAGCTGGACCATTATTGCTGCTGTGACTTATCACGTACGCTGCAAAAAGCTGAGGAGCCCACCTGAGATTGCTTGTACGGCGCTGCAGAGGCCCTGCCATGAATTGCTCACACTCTAAACAAGCAAACTCCAAAAAAAATCAGAGTGGAAGCAAAAACAGAGATTCAGGGATGTGTAGTGACTTGTACAAGACCCTGAGGCAGGCAGGGCAGGCAGAAGCAGCCTGCAGGCTGCCCTGACTTTCAGCAGAGCCACCCCCTGTTACCTTCCTCAGAAGAAGTGAGTCTTGGATATTGCATGTTGCAAAACAACAGTTGCAAAATGATGGTGGAGTTTTGGGTAAAGCGTCTATCAAGATTATCCAGACTACTTTGAGACCTGTACATAGCAGCGTGTCGGTGCTCAGGTCCTTGGAGAAACTGTTTTGAGTTTACCCGCTCTATGTGTACGTGCAATTTATGGTATGCCCCCGTGAATGCTGTGTACTGCTTTTGTTAAGTCCTGCTTCTTACCAGAGAGCTCTCTATATCTCTCATACCTAAAGCTTCTCTGATGACCGTTTCTGGGCATTTATCCTCCCATTCCTATAAGCTGTGGTCACGAGTGGATTGCTTCTGCAGTCCTTTGTTCGTACCGTTGTACAAAGAAAATAATGTAAGTACTTACCAGCTGTTCTTGCCTTGAACTTACTTCTCTTTGGGTTTCAGATTCAAACTCAGATGATTTTGATCCTGCTTCCACTAAAAGCAAGTATGACTCCATGGATTTTGATAGTTTACTTAAAGAGGCACAGCGGAGCCTGCGTAGGTAACATGCATCACACCTGAGGAAAATGGAGGGATGGCGAATACCTCACGGACATCACGTCCTTCAATAATGGACAATTAAAAAGTCATACTTGGGAATTTCTCCTACTTTACACTCTCTGTTGAAAACCATGGTTTACATGAACACAACTGCTCGACGAGTGGAGAGGCAGGATGGCTGTCCAGTAAGCACACACGTGTCCATGGGTGTCAGCTTTGTTTTCGCGGGTGATCGGTGGCGGGGGAGCCGGGCGTTCCTCGCGAGTTCGATGCAAACCACGAGACATGGCAGCAGTTCCACAGAGATACATGTACAACGATGAACTGCAAAATCTGTACATATTGCATTTTAACAAAAAAAGAACAAAAACAAAAAAAATTGAGAACTACGGCTGCTGATGTCTGGGAATCAGACACTGCATTATTATTTTTTTTAAATGAAGCTTCTTCTCACAGTACAGTGATAATATGACAATCCAGAAGGAACCACAGGTCCCAGAAGCCTACAATCTGTTTTAGCTTTGTTTTAAGATTTTTCTTTTCTCTGTTTTTTTTTTCTGTGGGTTTTTTTTTTTTTAGTCCTTGCAGAAGGGAAAATGAAAGGCTCAAGTTTCCCTAATATTTTGAAGTTTCATCTTTTAATTCTGACACCCATGTAAATGTCTACAATGTTGATCTTCCACAGCAAAAATTTCAAAGCCTTGTTAATGGTCAAATGTGCAGCTTGTTCAGCGATTTATTCTAATGAGCGGACGTGGTGTTACATTATTAATGAGAGTTGGATATAACTATCTGGGTGTGTGCACAGATAGTTTATTTGCTACATTCTCTAAAATAGTTGAGTATTTACAAATGTTAAATGGAGTATTTTTATTTATGTACATACTGTATGACGATGTTCTTTTTTGTTACAGCTATGCACTGTAAATGCAGCCTTCTTTTCAAAAACTGCTGAATTTTTCTTAATCAAGAATACTCAAATGTAATTATATGAGGTGAAACAATTATTGTACACTAACATATGTAGAAAGCTGAACTTACGCTTATATATATTTGATTGTAAAAAAAAAGAGAAAAGCGTGCGGGTGAGGGTGTGCGTGTATATACGTGTGCGCGTGTGTGTCTGAGTGCAAAAATGCTTTACACACATTCATCCCTTTTTTGGTGAGCTTATATAAGAATTTTGTCAAGACTTATCCTAGCCCAAAAGGTATTAACCACTTCTGCAGTATTTTTCCACATTTTTCTCATTGCTTGATTTTCTTTTGCAGTTTTATACACTGAATTTGTTAGGGGAATGAAATTTTCTCATCTAAATTTTTCTAGGAGATATCATAATTTTATGTAAAGTCTCTCAAATGGATAATCATTAAGAAATGTTTTTATTTTATGTATCAACAGTAGTTTTGGAACTAGAGGTCAAAAATCTTTTTAAAATGCTGTTTTGTTTTAATTTTTGTGATTTTAATTTGATAAAAATATGCTGAGGTACTAAGTACAGTATGATTTTTACAGTAATTCTGTGTCTAAACACTGTTCTTGAAGCCAGTAATCTTTTCATTGGCAGAGTTTAATGATGGTATTTATCTATATTTTTTACAGTTATGCATCCTGTATAAATACCGATCCTTCATTCCTTTGTTTACTAAAGAGACATATTTATCAGTTACAATTATCCTATTTATTATAAATTATGAGATGACTAAAATAATAAAAAGGCCAGTGGAAATTTTATACCTAGGATGCATGACGGTTGTCAGTTTGGAGTAAGTGCTTTGTTTGGAAATCCAGCTTTTGCAGAAGCAGTGGGTTGTTTGGGTTTTTTTTCTTTTTTTACTATGCACTAGCATGGCCTCAGATGTGCCCATGACATTGTTGCTGATGACATTGCTTCTGCTAAATTAAATAGAAACTTCAGGAAAGAAAAAAACCACAAGAGTAAACTACTGCTATTCTGAGCATCAGAATGTCATCTGAACTCGGAGTCTGTAGACTGAATCAGCAAAGTTTGGAATTTGCTTGCGAATGTATAGATTTGGTATTCTATTACTGTTTGGCATTCATAACTCCTCTTGAAGGTATGGCACACCTAACTATTTAATCTCCTTTCCCACTCCCAATCTTACAAAACCGATTCCACCCCCATGCCAGTGCAGTTAATTTTGATGGCTGCATTCATTTTATCACCAGCATATTGTGTTCTGAGAGATTCCACTGTCTGTCCTGTTGGATGCTTGCTTGATTTTTTGGCTTCTTATTTCTCAGTAGATAGATAGCAATAAATAAAAAAAAAAAAAAAGAAAAAGAACTTTTTCGGAGGTTCTGTGTTACGACTGTAACATTCTTTAATCTGCATAATTCTCGTTGTTGCTCTGTAGGTTAAAAATGCAGGTATTTTAACTTTGTGTGAATGCCAAACTAAAAGTTTACAATTTTCCTTTCTGGATTTTGAGTATCTTCTGTTGTAAAGAAAAATATTAAAAGCAATAAATTATTTTTAAGAAATCAATATTTAGTATATCATATTATGTGTTCAAGGACCAGATGCATTACCTATTTTGCCTTTGAATTTCTGTCATTAAATTTTAAATACATTCTCTTTTGCCCTAGATTGCTGACACGAATAAATTGGTGTGGGTTTTGGGCGGGGGGGGGATTATTTCTTTTTCACCAAGCAGGCATAATGACATGAGTCAATTTTTTTTTTCACTGGCCTGGCAAACATTCTCATCTTGAAGATGGCTTTCCTCTGTGGATTTACAAATTACGTATGAAATTAATGTAGAGCTAGGAATGCTGAATAAAGCTATTTGTATCTTTTGTAGACACTGTAGTAAGTAACCCATCAAAATATAACTTCGGTGTTTCCTTTTCTTTTTTTCTCCCCCAAGAACATTTCAAATTAGCACATGTACCACACTGTCACTGGAGGCAAATTGCAGCATAGCTCTGTGTGTCTCTTAGATGAAGATTGTACTGTTGCTTTCATGCTGTGGTAAGTACCACATCTGCAATACAGGTAACAGAACTGGTACTTAGAAACTATGGTCTTTCCTAGAGCTGTAGCAAAGTAATTCCTACATAACGTAAAATGATCCAAATCCAAACAGAGGGAGCCTAAGATTGAAGAAGAATACCTATGCTAAACTACTCTGAAAAGCAGTTGGACTGCCATCACCAAGAGCAGCACTGAGAGGAAAGTTTGTGCCTCTAGGGTGTAATACTTGGGTCAGTTGAAAAAAAAAACCCAACCACACCTTCTCATCCCTTTAGATGTAAGCTTACAGTAGGTAATGATTATGTGTCCTTTTTGATGGCTGTAATGAGAACTTCAATCACTGTAGTATAAGATCTGATCTATAAATGACCTAGAATAGCCATGTAATATAATGTGATGATTCTAAATTTGTACCTATGTGACAGACATTTTCAATAATGTGAACCACTGACCTGATGGAGCTACTGTAAGATTTGTACAGTAGATGAACATGTAAAGCTGTTGGTTGGACTATGCTGAACAGGGAAAGCGAGATATTAGTTAAGCCCAAGCTGGGCTATTTTCCACCTGCCAATTCTACATGTACTTTTGTGGTTTAATTCATTGTATGAAAATTCCTGTGATTTTTTTTTTTTTTTTTAATGTGCAGTACACATCAGCCTCACTGAGCAAATAAAGGGAAACGAATGTTTCAAATCCATTTCTGTTTCTCTTTTTTATCACAAGTGACAGGTTTTTCCCCTCCAATGATCATGTACTGGGTTTTCTAGTACTCTTCCTAATGGTCCTAGTTGATTTCAGATAGTAGTCCAAATTGCGCCTGCATTACTGCACTTTGGGCAGGGGACAGAACCACTAGTTTTAATAAATTTAATGGTAGAAACGTGCTATTTGCCTTTCTGTTGTAAGTACCCAAGGCTTTTGAAGGGCTGACGTAAACCTTGTGGGAAAACTTTTGAAAAATGCTCAGTGGAGTTTTAAGCATTGCTGGCTAGAGTTAGGAGCGGGTGGGGAATGTAAGGGCTTTTCTACATGGCCATGCTTGGATCCAAGTTGTGCAGGTGGTAGGGACTGACCAGTCCAAAATGGTTGGTATGTTCCATCCTGAGATGATCAATTCCTGTATGAGGAAGAAGCACCACTGTGATAGTTCTTCACCAGCCTCTCTGTCTCAGCAGATAGACTAGGAGGATCAGACAGGTAGGTGGGTGGACAAGCATGGGTTTTCCAAATCATTCCTGGACGGTAAAGGGTGCAGTATGATGGGCTTCCACACTGGCATTGTCACTGGTCAGGCAACAGCTGGAGGATGGTCTGGCTATTCACAGCCCTCTCCTTTCGATGCACGTAAAAAGAGAAAGGAATTGCTTTGGTTTGCTTTGCGCAGGGTTCATTCACAGGCAGCACACGTACTGCTATAGGCCTCTCCCGTTGTGTCAACAGCCTTCTCTGGGGGCTTATGATTGAGTCTTCTCGTCTTGGTGTGTGCCTCAGAAGGTACCTGAGGTGTGATGCAAGGAACAGCTCCAGGTAGTCTACGCACCTGGTGGGCAGGCTGGTTCTGGTCTTTAGCTATAGAGGACCACTGAAATCACTTTAAAAATTGCCTTTCTCAATACAACTAGCCTCCACCTCATCTCTGTTCCTAACATTCCTGTTTACTTTATACTCTGTAATGATATTTTTTTACTTGCAAAAATATTTAGCTTTTGCATTTTTACTATTTACTAATCCGCAGTGTTGTGCTTGGTGCTCACAATGGTGGTAGAGCAAAGTTCTTCACTGCGTGGGATTTGCGTTGTTGACTCACTGCTCCTGATCAAATTACTGCTCAAAAAGTAATGGGCCAAATCGATCCCTGATGTACTTTGTCAGTGTTGCTGCTGTTCCACAAGGCATGAATTTAGCCCAATATTTCTCCAGTTACTAGGCTTTTTAATTTGATGTGTTTATTCATTTCATATTTTTGCATAGCACTTTGATGCTAGCGAAAAAGCACTCTGTTAGATTTCCAGGAAAGTATTGCTTTTGCCTCCCGTCCCCTCATTTTATGTTATTAAGGCTTATTGCATAAAATCAGGATCTCATTTATTAAGAAATCATCCCTTCCATTGCCTGCTCT